AGGGTAGGGGAGGGAATGGCCAGCAGGGATGTAGCTCAGTTGGTAGAGCATGGCGTTTGCAACGCCAGGGTTGTGGGTTCGATTCCCACGGGGGGCCAGTATGAAAAAAAAAATATATATATAAAACATTTATGCACTCACTAACTGTAAGTCGCTCTGGATAAGAGCGTCTGCTAAAATGTAAATGTAAAAATGTAGTTGGCCACCAGGTTTGCACACCTCTCAGGAGGGATTTTGTACCACTCCTCTTTGCAGATCTTCTCCAAGTCATTAAGGTTTCGAGGCTGACATTTGGCAACTCGAACCTTCAGCTCCCTCCACAGATTTTCTATGGGATTAAGGTCTGGAGACTGGCTAGGCCACTCCAGGACCTTAATGTGCTTCTTCTTGAGCCACTCCTTTGTTGCCTTGGCCGTGTGTTTTGGGTCATTGTCATGCTGGAATACCCATCCACGACCCATTTTCAATGCCCTGGCTGAGGGAAGGAGGTTCTCACCCAAGATTTGACGGTACATGGCCCCGTCCATCGTCCCTTTGATGCGGTGAAGTTGTCCTGTCCCCTTAGCAGAAAGACGCCCCCAAAGCATAATGTTTCCACCTCCATGTTTGACGGTGGGGATGGTGTTCTTGGGGTCATAGGCAGCATTCCTCCTCCAAACACGGCGAGTTGAGTTGATGCCAAAGAGCTCCATTTTGGTCTCATCTGACCACAACACTTTCACCCAGTTCTCCTCTGAATCATTCAGATGTTCATTGGCAAACTTCAGACGGCCCTGTATATGTGCTTTCTTGAGCAGGGGGACCTTGCGGGCGCCGCAGGATTTCAATCCTTCATGGCGTAGTGTATTACCAATTGTTTTCTTGGTGACTATGGTCTCAGCTGCCTTGAGATCATTGACAAGATCCTCCTGTGTAATTCTGGGCTGATTCCTCACCGTTCTCATGATCATTGCAACTCCACGAGGTGAGATCTTGTATGGAGCCCCAGGCCGAGGGAGATTGACAGTTCTTTTGTGTTTCTTCCATTTGCGAATAATCTTACCAACTGTTGTCACCTTCTCACCAAGCTGCTTGGCGATAGTCTTGTTGCCCATTCCAGCCTTGTGTAGGTCTACAATCTTGTCCCTGACATCCTTGGAGAGCTCTTTGGTCTTGGCCATGGTGGAGAGTTTGGAATCTGATTGATTGATTGCTTCTGTGGACAGGTGTCTTTTATACAGGTAACAAGCTGAGATTAGGAGCACTCCCTTTAAGAGTGTGCTCCTAATCTCAGCTCGTTACCTGTATAAAAGACACCTGGGAGCCAGAAATCTTTCTGATTGAGAGGGGGTCAAATACTTATTTCCCTCATTAAAATGCAAATCAATTTTTAACATTTTTGACATGCACATTTCTGGATTTTGTTGTTGTTATTCTGTCTCTCACTATTCAAATAAACCTACCATTTAAATTATAGACTGATCATGTCTTTGTCAGTGGGCAAACGTACAAAATCAGCAGGGGATCAAATACTTTTTTCCCTCACTGTACCCCTAACATGATGCAGCCAGCACTATGCTTGAAAATATGGAGAGTTGTACTCAGTAATGTGTTATGTTTGGGGCAACTCCAACACAACACTTTGTATTCAGGACAAAAATTGAATTGTTTTGCCACATTTTTTGCAGTATTACTTTAGTGCCTTCTTGCAAACAGGATGCATGTTTTGATATATTTTTATTCTGTACAGGCTTCCTTATTTTCACTCTGCCATTTAGGTTAGTATTGTGGAGTAACGACAATGTTGTTGATCCATCCTCAGTTTTCTTCTATCACAACCATTAAACTCTGTAACTGTTTTAAAGTCACCATTGGTGTCACGCCCTGACTCTGGGGACTCGTATATGTTGAGTCAGGGTGTGTATGTTCTATGTTGTGTATTTCTATGTTGGTGTTCTATTATGTGTAGATCTATGTTGGCCGGGGTGGTTCCCAATCAGAGGCAGCTGTAGCTCGTTGTCTCTGATTGGGGACCATACATAGGCAGCCTATTGGCACTAGTGGGTTGTGGGATCTTGTTCCGTGTTGAGGTATGTTGTTTGTGTACTTTGGACTTCACGTTTCGTTTGTTGTTTTGTAGTTGTTTATTCGGTTCAAATAAACATGTATGCATATCACGTTGCGCCTTGGTCTGACCCGTCTATGAACGATCGTGACAATTGGCCTCATGGTGAAATCCTTGAGCGGTTTCCTTCCTCTCCGGCAACTGAGTTAGGAAGGACGCCTGTATCTTTGTAGTGATACACCATCCAAAGTGTAATTAATAAAGTGTAATTAATAACTTCACCATGCTCAAAGGTATATTCAATGTCTGCTTTTTTATTTTTACCCATCTACCAATAGGTGCCCTTCTTTGCGAGACATTGGAAAACCTCCTTGATGAGGTAGTCATTCAAAATCATATTAAACACTTATTGCACACAAAGTGAGTCCATGCAACATATTATGTGACTTTTTTAAAACTCATTAATGTATTTAAGCTTGCAATAACAAAGGGGTTGAATACTTATTGACTCAAGACATTTCAGCTTTTCATTTTTTTTTTATAAATGTTTTAACATTTATAAAAATATGATTCCACTTTGACATTATGGGGTATTGTGTGTAGGCCAGTGACAAAAACATCTCAATTTAATCAATTTTAAATTCAGGCTGTAACACAACAAAATGTGGGAAAAGTCAAGGGGTGTGAATAATTGCTTCAGGCACTGTATCTCCTGTATAACAACATTTCCATTCACAGTTTTTATGCAATTAAAGTCATACCATATTTAAAAAAATAACGACAGCTGTGATGGAAACAGGAAGTTCTGGTACAATGTTATAAATGCATTTTTTACATTTTAGTCATTTTAGCAGACGCTCTTATCCAGAGCGACTTACAGTTAGTGCATACATTATTTTATCGAACCCACAACCCTGGCGTTGCAAACGCCATGCTCTACCAACTGAGCTACATCCCTGCCGGCCATTCCCTCCCCTACCCTGGACGACGCTGGGCCAATTGTGCGCGCCGCCCCATGGGTCTTCCGGTCGCGGCCGGCTACGACAGAGCCTGGATACGAACCAGGATCTCTAGTGGCACAGCCAGCACTGCGATGCAGTGCCTTAGACCACTGCGCCACTCGGGAGTAATGGAGACAGATAATTGGTTTGTTGGACATGGTGGGATCTTTTTGTGCCTGTAAAATATATTATGCGAGAAATGGTGGTGAAATGCAAATACTGATATAGTAACCATCATATCGAAGTGAACTTGGGAGTCACCGGATGATATGGTGTGTGGTCCTCCTACTACGACTCGGGAAACCATGCAGTTTTATTAGGCTACAGATTTAAGTAAATTAGATTCACTTGAAAGTGCCTGGTGATCTTGATGCTCCTTTCCAATAAATATCGAGGGTCTTATTCTGGTGACATGATGATCGATGCTTGACAAATAAAAATATTCTCATGTAGACTAGCCTACCCACACTGCATCTGCAAGCTGTTGGCTAGAGCGCAGGTGCCAAGACCATTGTAGGCACATTTGCTATTTAACACAACCGTTTTGAAAGTTGAAATATGATGGAAACACATTGAACATTAGATTTTTATTCGGTACATGAAAATGTAAAGCTGCACTATGCAGCTCCGCGATTTCCTGGTTGCTACAATTCTAATAGTTCACCTAATTTCATTGTATGTGGCAAACCAAGCATGTACAGTGTAGAGAATCATTGTATCATCAAAAAATATATTTTCCATAACAATTTTTAAAATAATTTTCAGCTGTTTGAAGCTGGTGTACAAAAATGAATATTCGCATGAAAATCTGTCGCCAATTGGATGGAAACCTAGCTATGTATGCAAAAAACAACAACATTAAAACATTTGACCACAACAACAAGACCAAAGCGCTAATCTGTCCATACACAACATTGGCACAAACTGTTGATTTCTCTAAAGAAACACATTGCAGGCAACTGTAGTACAAACCGCGTTCATGTTGTGGCTGTAAATCTTTATGTGTTTTAAATGATCCCGCTAATACATTAAATCAATCAATGAAAATCCCCTTTGTTCACACACCAAAAACGACACTGACCGAAAAATCAGCCACCAAAGCGGTGAGAAAAGACACCTGTCTGGATGGAGGTGCTGTGACTGATCAATCCGATTACTGACGCTGTCTTTACACAGGTACATCATTATTATTTAACAACTAGAGCTATGGACTACGACCTGTAAAGACAACATATACCAGCCTTTAAACAGTATCCTTGGTTTTCGGTTTGCTCTGAGCGCCCCATCCCACTGTGTTTTACCATGCTAGCTAGGTAAACAGTAGCCACGTTATCTTACTTAGCTATGGCATATGCAGTAACCTTTAGATAACTAGTTAGCTAACGTTAGCTACCTCGCCGGGAATATGTCCTTTTTAGGAATATATTAAATGAAATGGTTAACTGGCTAAATGACAGCTAGATAGATAGCCATAAAATATGTAGCTAACGTTAGCTGAGTCTAAAAATTGACACTACGGGTTTAGCGAACATTACTAGCTCGATGGGTAGCTTGCTAATTTTGGCTTGTTTGTTAGCTAGCTTTGTGTTAGTGACATGGTCTAACGTTTAACTAGCTAGGTAGTTAACTATTCATCTGTGTTTGGCTGACAGTTATCACACAAGGCATTTTGAAGAGTCAAGTCCTAAGGAATGAAACACCTGATGATTGCAGTGTTTCCAGACTTTTTGTGAAAAGTGTTGGCTAGCTAGATGGCTAGCTCAACTGTCAGCTCACTCAACAGTGCTTAGATTGTAGCTAGGTCAACTAAAAGCTTCCACAATGGTTCAGGATAAACCTGAAGCAGATTACATTCATCCAGTAGGCTGAATGAATTGTCATTTGTCATTTTGATTGTCATTTGTTAATTCATGAGAATATTGTCTTGACAACTCTTCCATGTTCCTCTTTTCCAGATAAAACCATGAATCAAGAGAAACTGGCCAAACTTCAGGCCCAGGTCCGGATAGGTGGAAAGGTAACCACTATCATCTCTTTTTGTTATGATACAGCCACGACTACATTGTAGTTCCCTTCCATCTCTGCTAATGTAATGGCCAGGGTTGAAGGCAGCAGTTGGTAGCATAACTGCCTGCCTGTTTGGTTGAAGGGAGTTAAGATTTATGAAATCAACTGGCAGTCCTGTTAGCCTGAGGTCAGAACTTCTTCTATTATGGACAGATGCTTTGTCCTATTCAGCCTGGAGCCTGTGTGGCCTGGCTATGGGGAGAGAACTGCCGATATATTGGCCTTTTCTAATTTATCGGCCCCTTCTCTATTGGCTTTGTGGATAGTCCCTACACATAGCAAAACTACTGCTATGCTAGCTGAGAAAGTTATCAGCAGCAGCAGCAAGCTAGCTCATTCTCCAACAGAAAGGTACAGTATTGCGAAATGGATGAATTGGACCAAAATCGAACTCCTGTTGCAAATATTAATTTAGTTAATTCACTAATAAGGCTTGTGTCGACGTGCCCGCACATGCATGCAATAAGCACGTTAGCTAGCTATGTGACCTGTTAGCAAAGATTACAATATCTAACTCTTTCATCTGTGGCGTTAGCGACCTAGCTATATTAGCTACTATGCTAGCTAGATGGCTAGATAAACATGGTGCTAAGATATCAGATCGGAGCTAATAGCCAACGTAGCTAGCTAACATCAGCTGGTTATAATTTTGAACATGCACCATTTTCGGTAATGAGCCATCTGACTTGCGGTGTAACTTCAGCTATTTACTGGTGTGCTGATCTGACCAGACTCAATCATATCCGTAAATTGACAGTTGATAGTCGGATTAGATGGTTGTCGTAATAGGGAAAAGAGGGAAGTGTTTTAAAATGTGTAAATAAAAGTTGCCAATAGGTTTAGCAACCGAACAATCTTCCTTCATGTTTATGGACCAAGAAAGCTTCTCAAACTATGGGCAGATTTGAGTCAGAACGTGCATCGTCATTTCATCTTCTTTTTCCCAACCCTCTGCAGCCTTGTTAGATATTATGTACATTAATGGCTTGCTGGCAAATGTCATCGCCATTGAACTAGTTATCATAGCAGCAATAAACAGTAGCAAGTGATATAAGCCATGAAGAGAGAGATGTGAAAAGAGTGTGCACAGCTGTCATCAAGGCAAAGGGTGGCTATTTGAAGAATCTCAAATATATATATATATATATAAAATATATTTTGATTTGTTTAACACTTTTTTTTGGTTACGTGATTCCATGTGTGTTATTTCATGGTTTTGATGTCTTCACTATTATTCTGCAATGTAGAAAATAGTAAAAATAAAGAAAAATCCTAGAATGAGTAGGTGTTCTAACATTTTTGACCGGTAATAAATATATATTTTCCTTTTTATTACTTTCTAACCCTACCACCCCTCCCCTAATTGGAGTAAACTAATGAAAAACAACACTTAGGCTTCTACTTCCAGCTTATACATACTATATACATTTTACGGACACAGTCTATTTTACAATAGTTATATTTTATTTGTTTTTAGTCCTTCCTCAACCTCCGTCTTTCTGATGTCCATCCAGTTTAATTTCTATTTGACATATATTTTTAACTGTTTCACAAAAGTTCTGAACCTATATACATTTTACGGACACAGTATTTTACATGAGTTTTCTTATTATTAGTCCCACCCTTCAGCTCCATCCAACCCCTCCCATCTATCTCTTAACACCATCCATATTTGATTTCTATTTGCCATGTATAACTGCGCTGTGATGTTTCACAAGTTCTGAACCTTTCTATTCTCATAGTTTCTACAGATTGTAAATTTTAAAGAAACATTTTTTGCTAAAAGTATTATATTATTGATCGATTTGACTGACTTTTCAAATCAACCAGCAGTGCTATTTGCAGAGTTAGCTCCAGGTAAATGTTTGTATTATGTCCCACTGGAATAATACAACCACGTGTTGACCTTACCTGTTGTTGTTCTCAGGGAACAGCTCGTAGGAAGAAGAAGGTGGTTCACAGAACAGCGACGGCTGACGACAAAAAACTCCAGAGTTCCTTGAAGAAACTGGCAGTGAACAACATCGCTGGTATTGAGGAGGCAAGTCATGACAAGCAATTTTTAAGGAGAAAACTGAGTTGACGTTCTCGGTGTGAAGATGCCCATCCAATCAACCCTTTGCCCTGCCTCGGCACATCATGTAGATCTGAAAGTCTAGGATAAGTCAACAGCTTGTGTAGTAAAAGTCTAGGATAAGTCAACAGCTTGTGTAGTAAAAGTCTAGGTAAAATTGTAGCCGTAATGCTGACACCTTTTCAATCCAATCTGGGTCATGTTCGGCAGGTAGCTTAGTGGGTAAGAGCGTTGTGCCAGTAACCGAAAGGTCGCTGGTTCTAATCCCCGAGCCGACTAGGTGAAAAATCTGTCGATGTGCCCTTAAGCCAAGGCACTTTACCCTAATTGCTCCTGTAAGTCGCTCTGGATAAGAGCGTCTGCTAAATGACTAGAATGTAAATTTAATGTTCGGTTGCCAAATGTTGCGGATAGAAATTCCACGAATAGAGTTGACGTGGATGGTTATTCTACAGGTCAGAAAGGCATGTTTGTTCTTCATAACATATTTCTATCTGAACGTTCCCGAAACGTTGTCCTGCTGAACGCACCCCTGCTGTTACACAGTACAAACAGAATGCATTACTAAACCCTTTACCCCCCCAGGTCAACATGATAAAGGCAGATGGCACAGTGATCCACTTCAACAACCCCAAGGTGCAGGCCTCTCTGTCTGCCAACACATTTGCCATCACAGGCCATGCAGAGAACAAACAGCTCACAGAGATGCTCCCGGGCATCCTCAGCCAGCTGGGGGCAGACAGCCTCACCAGCCTCCGCAAACTGGCTGAGCAGTTCCCACGCCAAGGTAGGTGTACTGTGTGCACACCAGAGAGAGAGAGAGAGAGACACACACACAGAGAGAGAGAGAGAGAGACACACACACATAGAGAGACACACACACACACACAGAGAGAGACACACACACACACACAGAGAGAGAGAGACACACAGAGAGACACACACACAGAGAGACACACACACACAGTGAGACACACAGAGAGCGAGAGACACACACACACACACACACACACAGAGAGAGACACACACACACACACACAGAGAGAGTCTTACCAGTCTCCACAAACTGACCGAGCAGTTTGACCAAGGTGGTTCTGGTGGGAGACATGCACACACAATCTCATGCTCACAGACAGACAAAAAGACGAACACAGAGATATACAGACAGACAGATGGGGAGAGAGTCTGGCACATACACAGACATCTAATATGGTCTCGAGTCGTGCAGGTGGTTACGGTTTGACACATGGCCGGTTACACATCAGTGCATGTGTGACTGATTCAGTTCATCTGATCAAGAACTCTCTCTGTGACACAGCCACACACTGTCCCCTGTATCGTTACACAGCCACACACTGTCCCCTGTATCGTTACACCACTGTCCCCTGTATCGTTACACCACTGTCCCCTGTATCGTTACACCACTGTCCCCTGTATAGTTACCAACCCACTGTCCCCTGTATCGTTACACCACTGTCCCCTGTATAGTTACAACCACTGTCCCCTGTATGTTACACCACGTCCCCTGTATCGTTACAACCACTGTCCCCTGTATGTTACACCACTGTCCCCTGTATAGTTACCAACCACTGTCCCCTGTATAGTTACACCCACTGTCCCCTGTGTAGTTACACCACTGTCCCCTGTATCGTTACACCAGCCACACCACTGTCCCCTGTATAGTTACACCACGTCCCCTGTATCGTTACACACACTGTCCCCTGTGTAGTTACAACCACTGTCCCCTGTGTAGTTACACCCACTGTCCCCTGTATCGTTACACCACTGTCCCTGTGTAGTTACACCACTGTCCCCTGTATCGTTACACCACTGTCCCCTGTGAGTTACACACACTGTCCCCTGTATCGTTACAACCACTGTCCCCTGTATCGTTACACCACTGTCCCCTGTATCGTTACACCACTGTCCCCTGTGTAGTTACACCACTGTCCCCTGTATCGTTACACCACTGTCCCCTGTGTAGTTACACCACTGTCCCCTGTGTAGTTACACCACTGTCCCACTGTCCCGTTAGTTACACCACTGTCCCCTGTATCGTTACACACCAACTGTCCCCTGTATCGTTACACACCACTGTCCCCTGTATCGTTACACCACTGTCCCCTGTATAGTTACACCACTGTCCCCTGTATCGTTACACCACTGTCCCCTGTGTAGTTACACCACTGTCCCCCGTATCGTTACACACCACTGTCCCCTGTTGTTACACCACTGTCCCCTGTGTAGTTACACCACTGTCCCCTGTATCGTTACACACCACTGTCCCCTGTGTAGTTACACCACTGTCCCCTGTATCGTTACAACCAACTAGTCCCCTGTAGTTACACACCACTGTCCCCTGTTATCGTTACACCACTGTCCCCTGTATCGTTACCACAACACCTGTCCCCTGTATCCCGTTTTACACCACTGTCCCCTGTATCGTTACACCACTGTCCCCTGTGTAGTTACACCACTGTCCCCTGTGTAGTTACACCACTGTCCCCTGTATCGTTACACCACTGTCCCCTGTATCGTTACACCACTGTCCCCTGTATCGTTACACCACTGTCCCCTGTATAGTTACACCACTGTCCCCTGTATCGTTACACCACTGTCCCCTGTATAGTTACACCACTGTCCCCTGTATCGTTACACCACTGTCCCCTGTGTAGTTACACCACTGTCCCCCGTATCGTTACACCACCATGTCCCCTGTATCGTTACACCACTGTCCCCTGTGTAGTTACACCACTGTCCCCTGTATCGTTACACCACTGTCCCCTGTATCGTTACACCACTGTCCCCTGTGTAGTTACACCACTGTCCCCTGTATCGTTACACAGCCACACACTGTCCCCTGTATAGTTACACCACTGTCCCCTGTATCGTTACACCACTGTTCCCTGTATCGTTACACCACTGTCCCCTGTATCGTTACACCACTGTCCCCTGTATCGTTACACAGACACACACTGTCCCCTGTATAGTTACACCACTGTCCCCTGTGTAGTTACACCACTGTCCCCTGTGTCGTTACACCACTGTCCCCTGTGTCGTTACACCACTGTCCCCTGTATCGTTACACCACTGTCCCCTGTATCGTTACACCACTGTCCCCCGTATCGTTACACCACTGTCCCCTGTATCGTTACACCACTGTCCCCTGTGTAGTTACACCACTGTCCCCTGTATCGTTACACCACTGTCCCCTGTATCGTTACACCACTGTCCCCTGTGTAGTTACACCACTGTCCCCTGTATCGTTACATCACTGTACCCTGTATCGTTACACCCCTGTCCCCTGTATAGTTACACCACTGTCCCCTGTGTAGTTACACCACTGTCCCCTGTATCGTTACATCACTGTCCCCTGTATCGTTACACCACTGTCCCCTGTATCATTACACCACTGTCCCCTGTATCATTACACAGCCACACACTGTGTTCAAGAATAAAATGTCAAATTGTACCCTTTTCTCCGATTGCAGCACTTGACAACAAAGCGACGTCAGTCATCAAACCAGAAGATGTTGAAGAGGAGGATGACGATGTTCCAGGTATTGTTTCACATACAGCATCATGTGACCTTTGACCAGTATGGTGGTCTCTGGTGTGATATGATGCTGGTAGAGGTCAGTATGGTGGTCTCTCTGGTGTGATATGATGCTGGTAGAGGTCAGTATGGTGGTCTCTGGTGTGATATGATGCTGGTAGAGGTCAGTATGGTGGTCTCTGGTGTGATATGATGCTGGTAGAGGTCAGTATGGTGGTCTCTGGTGTGATATGATGCTGGTAGAGGTCAGTATGGTGGTCTCTGGTGTGATATGATGCTGGTAGAGGTCAGTATGGTGGTCTCTGGTGTGATATGATGCTGGTAGAGGTCAGTATGGTGGTCTCTGGTGTGATATGATGCTGGTAGAGGTGCAGTATGGTGGTCTCTGGTGTGATATGATGCTGGTAGAGGTCAGTATGGTGGTCTCTGGTGTGATATGATGCTGGTAGAGGTCAGTATGGTGATCTCTCTGGTGTGATATGATGCTGGTAGAGGTCAGTATGGTGGTCTCTGGTGTGATATGATGCTGGTAGTGGTCAGTATGGTGGTCTCTCTGGTGTGATATGATGCTGGTAGAGGTCAGTATGGTCATCTCTCTGGTGTGATATGATGCTGGTAGAGGTCAGTATGATGGTCTCTGGTGTGATATGATGCTGGTAGAGGTCAGTATGGTGGTCTCTCTGGTGTGATATGATGCTGGTAGAGGTCAGTATGGTGGTCTCTCTGGTGTGATATGATGCTGGTAGAGGTCAGTATGGTCATCTCTCTGGTGTGATATGATGCTGGTAGAGGTCAGTATGGTGGTCTCTGGTGTGATATGATGCTGGTAGAGGTCAGTATGGTGGTCTCTGGTGTGATATGATGCTGGTAGAGGTCAGTATGTTGGTCTCTGGTGTGATATGATGCTGGTAGAGGTCAGTATGGTGGTCTCTGGTGTGATATGATGCTGGTAGAGGTCAGTATGGTGGTCTCTGGTGTGATATGATGCTGGTAGAGGTGCAGTATGGTGGTCTCTGGTGTGATATGATGCTGGTAGAGGTCAGTATGGTCATCTCTCTGGTGTGATATGATGCTGGTAGAGGTCAGTATGGTGGTCTCTGGTGTGATATGATGCTGGTAGAGGTCAGTATGGTGGTCTCTGGTGTGATATGATGCTGGTAGAGGTCAGTATGGTCATCTCTCTGGTGTGATATGATGCTGGTAGAGGTCAGTATGGTCATCTCTCTGGTGTGATATGATGCTGGTAGAGGTGCAGTATGGTGGTCTCTGGTGTGATATGATGCTGGTAGAGGTCAGTATGGTCATCTCTCTGGTGTGATATGATGCTGGTAGAGGTCAGTATGGTGGTCTCTGGTGTGATATGATGCTGGTAGAGGTCAGTATGGTGGTCTCTGGTGTGATATGATGCTGGTAG